TCCCAGTCCGACGGGCAATTTTGTTTTCACACATACACACGCTTCTGGCACTTGTCAACCAATTTTTTTGGTCGACAACGACGTAACCCCTTTCCAACCCCCTAAAATCCCCATTTTTATTGTAAAAATCGTCATTTAACCTTCAACAATGCAAACGACAATGTATATCGTAACAATGATAACAATTGCTTAACGACAATAAAAAGACTAAATTGCTTCTTCTATTTCACAAATATATTTATTTATTTTTTCATTTTCGTGGCCAAATTATGCAAATATTATTACCGTGGACTTCCTTCTTTCACCATTTCTATGAAACCTTACTCTACTCGTTACATCTAAGTACTAAAACCTTATATAAAGTTTTTTATATAGCAGCGTTGACTGAAAATTGTATATACATTTTTCGCATAACACACACGGCATTTATAATTTAGGTATCCCGAAATATTACAGGACATTTTTCATTAACATGCTACTATTAAACAAAATGGAAACTTTATAAAGTTATTGAAAAAACTTGAAAAGCAAAATGCGTGGTTCGTCAAGAACTGCGTCGCTTCTCAAACGGTTTTTGGATATTTTAAACTTTCCTATAGTTTATAAAAGTTTTCGTTACGTTAATATAACTTATATATTGATTGTGGTGATTACTCTTCTATCGCCTACTTTTTTTAGATTGTGTTTCGGCAATTGCGATTCTACTAACCCCGCATTTTACTTGTATTCCGAATAAGCAATATTTCTCTCTCCGATGTTAGCTATGTATGGATTATATATAGTGCTATGGAAAAGTGTCTCCGCAGCGTGGTCACCACAAAGTGGCTGGTTTGATTTTCCGACGTCATAATTTACTTTGTGTATTTGGACGCGCCATGTCGTTATTTCGTTGGTGGAATCGCCTTTCGTTTCCCGGACGAACTTTAAATCGCACAATGTCTATTAAATGTTATAACCATAAGATTTACGTTGATTTTTGTTTATTTCTTTATATGTAGGTAATGGTTTTGAGTAAAGGCTGTTTCTCACTTATGGAAAAATCCGTACAAAGAATTTTGAGAATTTTTTTTTTGCCATCAAACCAGTGCAGAAAATCGTGTCGAGCAACTTATAACTTATCATTTACAGAATACGGAGAAGTTTCTCGTCCGATAGCAATCAGGTAGAGATTTAAGTCGTGACCATGTTTGGTTTCGCCTGCGTAATAAAGTGTTACAAAAGAATATAGAATTCGAAATAAAAAAAAAGCAATCGGCATTTTGTAGAATCGTCTATAGAAGATATTAACCCCTGTATTCACCAAAACGAGTTAAAGTTAACAGTTAAATCTCGAGTTATTGGTAAGTTAATATTCACCAAACACTAAAATAACTCTAATTCTAGAGATTTCCTAGAGTATTTCTCTATACATTTAGTGCTTCCCTTCTATTCTTAGTTTCCTAATATTAGAAAAAAATCCTTATCACTGGCTTGTTCATTCAGCTGTATTAGAATCACTTTATCAGACAACGTGCCCTTTCTCTTAAAAACTATGTCATATTTTTATATGTAAACTTGATAAAATAGAGTTTGTTTAATCGATATTGTTCTCCTGCTTAAATTGTTAAATTGCAATTTATTAGAAACCAAATTTGTTATTTAAACTTCAATATGATTTTTGTACATATATTTTCTCGTATTCCAAATACAGTATATAGTCGTATTTTCAATCATGCTCGAGCCAGCTTTGGTTGTTTAATTAAAACACAGTAGTTATCTTTCTGGTTGGGATATGTATTAGTCATTACGACTATAAATTCCAACAAGGCCATCTGTGTACTTAGTGATAATGATGATATTTCAGTTTTTGCATTTTTGTTACAGTAAACAATGTAATAAAACAGTTCTTAAGCCATGAAACAACAAAATATTTCTTAGAATTCATCTGATAAGTAAAATATGTGAATAGATTACTCCAAGAAAAGGCTTGAAGGTTTGAATTATAATTTCCATGAGCACTAACTGTAATTATCTGGTTATTCAATTCAGTTTATTGCCAGCCAAATCTAGGACCAAAAAGACACACGAAGACAAGTGCAACCGCTTATCTCCATTGAATTTTACTTTGTTAACTAAGATAACAATTTTTATCTATACTATTCAAAAGCAAATAAGTCGGATGTCCTAACATTATTTAACAAGAAATTAATCACGGATGTATTAAATTTTAATTTAAAACGAGCAATTATTTATTGTGTCATTGTCACAATGCTGCCGGGCTGCAATTTTTAATCATATTTTTGATTTATTTAAATTAAAATATATGCTCTCCACCTCAAATTAGTGGCGGCTTGTCCCTATACATCATACCCTTCCTTTGACAATAGAGTCGTGAGCCGGTCATATATCTAACACCTTTCAGGAAAATTTTAAAAAAATCGAAACGTGACTTTCCGATTTACATCGAACGTTCTTATGTAGTTAATCTGGGCCTCCTGTCTCAGGTTTCCATATCTAGTCTCATTTTTCATCTATCTAACTCCGTTCACGAGATTAAGGAAAGAGACAAACGGACACGTATTAGTATACTTTTTTAAAAAATACTTCCCGGTCTTTGGCACTAAAGTGTTTTCAGCAAGTCCATTAATAAGGGTTCGGCCAAGCCCACAATAGCGCGGCATATTGGAAAGAACGGGACCTGACATAACCGGATGAACAGAGGTAGAAATTCATATTTTTCAGCACTAGTAGCTCAATGTATTTCACCATGTAAAGTTATTACATTTCATTCAGATAGTTCTTTAGGTTAAAATAATAAACGATTTAATAAATAGGATTTTAAATACACTAATGTTAATTTAAGGCTACAAAATAATTACAATAAAAGACGACGTAGGAATCAGTCCAAAAATTAATTCTACAAGGTATATTGAGATTTTTTCGCTTTAAAATTGATTCAATAATCAGAATAAGATCAACTCACCTTACGATTATGGCAAGATAATACACACTATAACGGCTTGCCATTATTGCCAAGCGACTACGTCAGCCATGTTAAGATAAGACAATCAGCATTACATGTGGGTGGTTTTGGATAATCTGCGTGTCATTTCAAACTTTTCGTTTAAAATTACACACATCCAATTCAGATTTTACACGAACTGTTTTAACACGACGATCCAAGTTTTAAAATTTTTTTGTCATATGTATATGCAGAGCTTGCTTCGCATTATTCACTGAATTGATCACTTCTACATTGAACTATTTCTACCGCAAAAAAATAAGTATTTAAAGCAAGCTTAATTCTGTATTAAATATTTAATTTAATATTAGTAATATAATTACGCAGAGCCGGATTTGAGCGATATGTGACAATCGGACCTCGCAGCACATTAAAATTTATATATTTAAAAATAGTACAGTACATGTTACAAAAATATCTAGGTATATTATTATTAAAAATATAACATATTTCAATACCGTAATTAACCGTTAATTAATTTTGTTATTTAAAGTTTAAGGGGACCAGCAAAAAAAATCAATCGGGCCTCGCACCTATTGGATCCGGCGCTGTAATTACGAACACATCACAGTAGTCCCTGTAACTCAAAAATTACAATATTTGTTTTTGTATCTCGATAACGTAAACCTAGGATCAAATAAGTCATCGTTACTTACCAGCGACAATTGTTAGCACTTTTCTCAAGTTTCCCTGCAAATGTCGCTTGAGTTAGTGACCACCTAGTAGTCTTATTTTTTTAAAAAGTACTGTACCTGTACGTAATACACGGATTTGCACATAAAACCCTTACGAAAATTTCACTAGCTAGCATTACTATCCGTAAAACCCATTTTCGGTAACTCGCCTCTTGTCCAAATTTAAGTCGAGTACGCAGGACTACTCATTTCACTTGGGGCGAATTACTATTGATACTTTGCTATTTCTTACCGCAAATTGAAACAAAAAAACAGCACGAGAATAGTTATTTTAAAACTCATTCTTTTTCTTTACGCTTTTGATTTTTACAAACAAATCTGGACTTGAATTACTCAGGCATTCCAAAATTTTCATTTCCATGAAATATTTGTGGAGTTACCTGAAAAATCACTGTTACCGTCATTGTGAAGTAGCTTCAATGCTGCGTTAAGTTCAATTTCTACTAACAGTTAAAAGTCCAAATCTAACCTCAATCATTTATTGTATCATATGAATTTCAGTATAAAATACTAAAGATAAACAGCTAAGGTTATTCTATATAAGTTATTCTATATTTGCATTTAACTGTAAATTAGTATTTAACAAAAATTTGAGTATACAACTAGAACAAATCTTAATTTTTAATAATTAAAATGTCTTTATTATGATGGAAATAATAAGTATAATGAAAATGCAAATAAGGTTTTCATTTGACAATATTTATTTTCTTTTTATTACAGCATTTAGCCTACTTTCTGAGCAAGCTCTTTAGCTCTAGCCTTCTCCAACTTGGCAATTCGAGCAGCAGATTTGGATCCCAAGATTCCACCGCCCCAATGTCGACGAATCTGAAAAAATTAAGTTATTTTTACATATTGACTTATATTTTAGATCAATTAACAAAAGTTTAAAGGAAAAAAGAAATGTACACTTACCTCATCATATCTATCATTGAAATTTGTCCTGATTGCTTCTACCAGTTTGTTCAGTGATCCTTTGTCCTCACTAAAATACAATAAAGGAAATTAATATAAAAAGCTAAATATTAAAAAAAAACAGTATTAATTAATACTCTGGTTAATTAATTAAATAAAATAGCTCAGTTCAAATAATTCTCCAAAAAATATTCAGATGAAGAAATTCAAATTTATTAATTACATCATAGCAAATCAAACTGTATTTTAAAAAGTCAATACACTTACGAATTGATATGAGTAAGTGCCAAACAGGAACAAGTTTTTCTTCTCACAACACGTCCTAGTCTAGATTTATTCTTTATAATACAATATGGAATACCCATTTTACGGCAGAGCGAAGGCATGTATAGCACAAGCTGTATAAATGAAACTTTTAATTAAATTTCAGTTGCAATTTAAAAAAAGCTATATGAATAAAATTATTATAATTCAGTGTTAAAAAGCTCATGAAAAGCAACATTGATATTCAGGTATTTTAAATTCATCATTAAATTCATAAGTTTTACTAAAATAAAATTTTAAGCTTAGAAATAATTATCTTCTAGCATTTTCTTTGCTATAAACTAGAAATGAATTGATTGTAATTTTAGTGGATAGTATTCATCTAACATTTGACATCATAATGTCCGAAATAAATCAGTTATTAAAAGTGATTTAATATTTACCTCAATTGGATCTACATCATTAGCTATAATAACTAATTGAGCTTTTTTCTGTTCAATGAGAGAAGTGACTGTGTTGCATCCTTGACGTACAACAGCAGGTCTCTTGGTAGGTTTATCATCTTTACCCTTTGCTCTTTCCTCTGCTCTTGCCATCAACCTTGCTTTCTTAGCTTGTTTTGTTTCTGGACGATACTTATCAAGCAATTTAAAAAGTTGTGTAGCTGTAATAATACAATAACTTTTAATTACCATTTCATTGCTCTTAAGATATTTTGTGATAATAATAAAATTCAGAAAGAGGTTGTGGTGGATTTAAGTCTATCAACATCATTGATACTGATAGCAAATACATCATCAATTTACATCTTTATATATACTAAGTTAAAAAATTAAGCCAAATATTAATTTCAATGATGATATATTTTTGATATAGTGAATAATATTTTAAATTATATAATCTAACCTGTAGGTCTGTCAAGGGTTTGAGTAAATTGATTTATAGGTGGAGGAACTTTCAATCGTTGATATAACACAGCCTTTTGTCTCTGGAGACGAATGTATTTCGGCCAACGTACAAAACGACTTAAATCACGTTTTGGTTGAATATGCTGACCTATAGAAAATTTTTTTTTATTAAGAAGGATTTACATTACAAGAAATTATTAGAAGATTCCGAGTTCTTCCAATTGTCAACAATCCTACCTGAACATACTTAAATTATATGCAGCTAGGACCTAGCCAAAAAAGCATCATAGGCCACTTGCCACAGGCATACTAGCTACTCACCAATCCCAAAGTTGCGTGGATTTTTCTCAAACAGAGGATTGACGACTTTCTTCTGTTCTGCCTTTTTAGCAGCTAAAGGTGCTGCGGCAATCTTCTTTTTTCCCTTCTTTCCTTTAATCTAAAAATAAATATAATCTTTAATATACAGCATGTTAAATATTACACTTTTTTATGCAATGCAATAAGAATGTATAATAACAATAAAAGAAAGACCATAGTTTCAATTTTGAACAAGGCTAATTTGTAAGCAAATTTTTTTTACTTATCAGTAAGAATGAGCCAAATCAACTACTTTTTTTTATGTACTGTACTTTATATTAAGCTCCTGACAGGAATATTAACCTCACACCTTGATCTTATTTTACAATAAATCTTCCTGCTGCATGATCTTTCTGATGATATCCCTAATTACTGTTGATTTTCTTTTCAAAAATTTATATTTGAATATATTCTGTTAGCTAATTCTGATTTTTTTCTGAAAAGATCTATACAAAATTTCTAAGATTATTTTTTAATTAAATAAGTTAAGGTTAAATCTAGTTTTTTAAATACTTTACTGTAGTCCAAAAATGTAAAATTCTTAATCTTTTGATTGATTGCCATATTTCCCGTTATATAAAATCTGGAAAAGTATAATACCAACAGGCAAATCAAATGATGTGTAACAGATAAGATTAACAGCATATCCAATAGCTCAAAAATTGATGTAAAATCATTAAGCAGCATATGAGTCAGCAGTGTTCAAGTGAAATGTAAAGCAGCTGCTTTAAAAAATAAAAACCATCATCTCTAGCTCTAAACACTTTCCTGGGTTAGAGAATGCCCTTTGATATGATTCTAGGCAAAACTATAGAAGCTTAGTTGTTCTCTTTTAATTTTTTTAAAGACACATTTGACAGACATTTCCAAAACATACAAACTTTTGCAGCAAATCATATAAAAAGAAAAGAAAAAACAGGACTACTTATTGACTAGTCCACCATTGCTTAAAGCTTGTTTACATTGCAGAGCAGCATGATTAAACAGTAGACAGACATGTGTCACATGATCTTATTTCAATGCCACCCAGTCACATGTCTACCTAGAAAAAGCTCAAACCCCCCTTTTTACTGTGACAATGCTTGTTTTTCTGATTATCAGTGATATTACTTCATCCAAAACTTCCTGTAGTACCCTGCATAATATGCTCTTTATTCACATGTTAATCTCACAGTAAAATCAGGTTCCAGTATTCTCATGCCACAACCTATTAACAGTTTATTTAAATGTTTCTGCTGAGTTTTACTTTTTCAACCTGCTTCCCTCTGTTTCTTTTATAAGCATTTAGATAGTTATAAGCATTTAATCCAAACTTTAAAGTAATTCAATTACTTATTCTTTTTTTTTTTATGGAATTAATCTTGAAAAAATAAATTGTCATCAAATCTTAACTCAGCACTTTGTTATATAATGCTATGGAAGTGTAACTGAAGCAAAGTTTACCAAACTGGTCCTCCACAGGCTGTTCAGTCATATGATTCCTGCAAAGTATAGTGCTGTAAAGTATTAGTTTGGGAGAAAAACAAAGCAATTTATGATTAGTTATATTGGACCCAGATGTGGTGCAATCAAAGACTTTTGCCATAGTATGTGAACTAAACAAGTAAACAAAGGGAAGAATGAGCATCCACATTCGGATCAAGCGTATATGTAAAGAAAGGCTTCGTGCACTATAATCCTCGTCTCGTCAAAAGTCGACTCCCAAAAAGACTTTAAATTGGGGGAGAAGACTGGAAAAAAAGGAGTGGAGTAAGTCTTGATACAGACTGCACTCAGATACTTGGCAAGCCTGCTGAGGATAGGGAGAGGCTACACTCCCCTCTGGAAGGGATGCTCAGGCATAGGTGAGGTCCGAGATCTAATGATATTGTGGATAGAGCCTCTCCACTACACAAAAATTATCAAGAGGACATCCCGAATATTCTATGTTGTTCTTGGTTGTGTCAATCAGTACAGTGAGGTACCCCAATTAACTGTATATATCAAACAAATGAAGTGTGGAGGTATTTCCTATGAACCTACTATACACCCAAAACATGCTACTGAAGACATGGAGGACCAACTAAGGAATTTTAACTGGTGCAAAAGAATGAATTCTTCCATAAGAATAATAGTTTATGAACACATCAGAAGCATAGTCATATGACATGCTTTGTGAGCATCCACCATGCAGCTTTGTAACAAGCTTAAACAATTGTTTCTTGAACAAGGCACAGCTGGTAAGTAGTCCTATGATTTTTTGTTTATAGCACTTTATACATGGGGTCGTCCAAAAAAAAAAAACCTGTTTTGGAAACATCTTTTAAATATGCCTTTTTTTTTTAAAAACAAAATTTTGATAATCATTATCAAATTATTAGGTCAGTATACTATTGTGAAGTGTTATTTTTTGATGTTAGTTTAACAATACAAATTCAGCAATAAATAAAAGCATCACTGATTCATAGAAATAAAAATAGACACCATACAACCTATCTTTCAACCAATCCAAATACAACATATCTTTTCAGAGAGAAAAGAATGAGATACTGTAATTTGAAAAAAGAAAAAATTTTGGTATTTTAGATAGAATATCCACATTTTTTTGACTGGTTATTTCAAAGGTTTTACTCATTCCACTGTCACATAAGACTAAGATATAGCAAATGAACAAAGCATACCTGAACTTGAAAGCAATGGAACCCATTGAATCTTAAGAGTACACTTGCAAAAAATCTTGATGATAATCAATGATTTGAAAAATAATATTGAAGCTACAAAATAATTTTACCTTTACCTTTTTCGGGTATTATAGCCTGTAATACCTGAAAATTCCAAGTCAGATCTCCACTCTGATTCTATGTCCACCATATTATTATACAAAATTAACCTTAACTCATTTAGCATTATAAAATCAATTCTTTACATAGCAATGAAAAAAATTTGATCATTAACTACAGTGGAAAAATAACGCGAATTAGTCTCTTTTTTACTCAATTACTTAATTTAAAAAAATAATAATAATAATCATTATTATTAAAGAATTCAAGCGAATTCAGTAAATTATACTGAACAGTAAAACGTATAATACGCCATAATATTCACACTCGAACAATATGGCGACCTAGGTTTCTACTCAAATACGAAAGAAAAAGAAAATTAAAAATATTTAAATAACTAATTTTTCAAAAATACTAACTTTTCGTTGAACCATCTTTACTAATCAACTATTTACGCTTCTTTTTTTGAAGAAAAGGAGACTTCGAAAAGCAGATGGAAATAGATTGAACCGACCACGCTGAAATTCGCCCCAAAATGATGGAAAGGTGACGTGACGCATACTGTATTACCGTGTGACGTTTGCTCTATTATTAACACTAGCCAAAAACGAGCCAATTTTTTAAAATGTAGTATTATTATTTTGCTTTGTTTTAAAAATAATACAAATAATGTTTACAATTAAATATATTTTTAAAATACAAAAATTAATTTTAATAGTTTATTAAAGCATTACTAAAATACATTTGATATAAAAATATTAATTAATTATTATTATTATTATTATTATTAATCAAAGTAATAAAGATATTACAGCACTATTATTAAAAGAATGAAATAATGTGTATAAGTAAAAAAGAAAAGTTTTATCCTAGCTTATTATTTTATATTTTTCACATGGGTTACCATACGGTATCCAATAGAACGGTGTTTTGGCTCTTTCTGCCCTGTGGGCTAAGAAACGGATATATAGATACGATCGACTCTCATCGAAATATTAACCAGAACTCTTCTAACGTGCCAACCTCTTCGTTTATTCAACCTCCCTAAGGGACAGACCGAATCCTTTCTCGCATCAGGTATACAGACGGATCCTTCAACCTACAGGTACGAGTATTTATTTCCACATGAACCTCATGGAAACGCTCTCTCTCGCGACCACTTACGATATAAATCAGTTAATTTAATACCTTACGAAGTTTGTATCATGCACACAGTGCCGTAACTAGGACGGTGCCAGCGGTGCCCAGGCACAGGGAGCAGAAATGACCTGGACCACGTTTTGAGGCGTAGTTACAGAAGCTAGCACCGGGCGCATAAAAGGCTAGTTACGGCGCTGCATGTACAGTACATACCTTTCTCTGAGCAATTAAATGGTTATTAGTTGTTAACCTGACGTCTGAGTGCATCACTTCCGACTCGCCGTCTGAAGTGGACTCGGCTTTTCATCTGGCTTGGTTTCTTTCCTTTCCAATCTACGGCGCGGTCCGAGTACTTGTTCTTCCACTTCGATTAAATTAAAGTCCACATAACAACGACGATGTAATGTTTATTGTCGCAAAGTGACGACTAAAACATAAGGCAGTGTTTCTTGAATTTAAAGACTGTTGTTTAAACGACTATAACAGGCCAACGCGACTTACATTATATAGCTGTCCCTTGATAATCCGACAGGCATGGGACCAAAGGGGTGTCATCGTGTAAGAATTGGATGGGGTGATTCACGTCGCGACATGCTTCTGTGCAAGCAGACACGTAACGGGGACGGGTACTGTACCTTGACGGGAGATGCGTCGGACTACTGAGCATGTCGGATTACAAAACGTCGGACTATCAAGGGACAGCTGTACAGACGTTTTCACTATATTTAAACCATGTGCTACTGCTAACAAATTTCATAATAAGTGGTAGATAGTGGCTACTCGTATACAAGTCGACGTTAAACTTCGATAAAAAATCAAAGAAAACACATTGTAGTCAGTATATCTTCAAATCCGAATAATAGTACTAACTTCAACAATTAAATTTGTAAATTGTCTTATCTTAATTACAAAAAAAATTTATATTTAATAAAAACTTAATACGAAATTTTTTAACTATTTGAAAATTCGATATTTATAAAAAGAAAATATTAAAAAAATACAAAATTTTAGGTTTATTTTTAACTGTAGGAAACAAAGTAAAACTTTTTCTTGTCTCCGGACCAGTGCAGTGAATTCGAAAATGACCGTGAAAATGCTCTCTCGAGCAAGGTTTACACGTTACAAGTATATTTCAGTATGTAGGGAAATAAAGTTTAAGACTTAAAACGTGTAGAGTCGACCACAGCATAAAATGGAAGACTCTTTGACCTATATTTGGAAATATCTTAATAAATTTTTAGCTCGGTAAAATGGGGTTGACATCTTCCTGTTCGGGCCATAAGCGAACACGCGGTAGACCCAAAATTTTCTCCGTAAATTTGTATATTTAGAGACCAGACTCCATCATACCCGAAACACCTTTTTAACTTTTGTACGTATGTCTGGAAATATCTTTATAATTTTAAAACCCGTTAAAAAATGGTCGACGTCGGACTGTTCGAGACACCAGCGAGCACGCGTACGATTAAAAAGTTATTCGCTAAATACGTAAAATAAACACCCAGAGTCGATCACACGCAAAAACCTATCGATTTTCTTTATCTATGTTTGGAAGTACAGTATATTAATCGCGGGTTGACGTCTCAACAACGAACTAGCCAAGTAGAGTTTTCCGAGTTTTCTTTACATGTGAAACATCTAAACTGGGGCCAGTTTTTAGTGGAAAGACCTCCCGGAGGGCATTCCTCTTTGACACAACGCCTAAATTCTGTATTACCTTCTTTCATCAATACATTTCGTGGTAGTCCTGAAGTGTCGTTGCAGCATTTCAGTTGAAAACCGTTGGGATACGGCAACGCAATACACGGATAAATGTCTCCCAGGTCAGGAGGACTTTCTTTTAGAAAGTGATTCCTGTTCAGATACTAGACACGAGAAAAAATCTGAAAAACTCCACGTGGCCAGCCCGTTAGTCAGCCTCAAACCTACGACCACAGTTCAGTGGTTTTATTTACTCGGCTGGTGGCGGGCTTTTTAATTACTTGTTAATTGCTTTAAAACTTACGGAACTTACAATTATCATAATTATAATATTATTTATATTATCATTATGAAAAAAACATTCTTTTGTCTACTTAAAATCTAGAAATCATGATATCAGACGAAATTTGTTAAACATTATTATTAATGATGATGTAATATATAAATAATAAAATTATCAATATTTTATCATATTGACAAAACTAAATTATCATAATCATTTCTAAAAGATAATTCGGATAATTCGAACGTATGGATGAAGAATTTAATATTGGTTATTTTTTTACTTCGGTTTTTTTACTTTCCAGGCTCCGTTATATTAGGTTGTTGCAAACGAAATAGCCGAATTTTACTTCTGACTTTGGACATTTATTAATTTAATTTAAAACTTACACATGCAATTAAAATTGACTCCATCAACATTAATACAATGCAATAGAAATGCATTAACGCCAATTGGAAAAACAAGATTATTCATTTTTCTTTCTTCCATGCCGTCAGAAAAATATTCTGATGGCATGAAAACGTGTGGAACTCACAATATAAATGAGATTACATTTTTAAAGGTCATGTGTCAAATTTCAAATGGGGTCTGATTTAATGAAATTATTATCATTTACAATTTTTATAAAACTCGTCTGTACCTTCAAAATTAAGCTTTTTGTCATTTTATAATACTTAATATTACAAAAAGCTCTTTAAGTAAAATATTATAAGAGATGACGCCACATATAATTTTAAATTCTTTTGCTGGGAAAGTTATTCAACTCATTGCTGGATTATTTATTTATGTTTACAAAAGTGGAATTAATGGCTGTAATATTCAATATGAGAAAGTGGAGTAGTACACTGCGAGCTTAATTTTGAACATTGTACTTCCTACTCTTAGAAAATTTGTAAACAGGATTCAATGGAGTATCCGAATAGCATTAAGTACCAATTAAGGTAACAAAAGAAATAGATTTGTGTATAAGAGTTCATCTATAATCCACATGTTCTATTTTAGTTAAGCAAGTTAAAGTTTAAACCCAGTATAAAAGCTATATTTTTAATACCCTTCATTTATGGTGTCTATCCAATTCTCCTCTTCCCATTTCTCCAGTGGTGAACTGTCCCACCTGAAAATCTTGAATTTTCCGATGAGCCGCCTGCAATTTGAAAAAATTGTAGACCTATAAATTCCTACTGTCTTCCATCTATCCGTCTATCTGTCTGTTTTTTCTGTATCTGGAGAATGGTGTTAGATCAATGAAATTCAACACCAGATATGGAGCAGGAGATCCCAATTAACTATATATGAACTTCTGATGAAAACCGGAAGTTATGTTATTTTAATTAAAAAATTTTTCCCCGAAAGGAGGTAGATAGATAACTGGCGCGACTACATTGTTAACAGAAAAGTATGATGTACAGGGGCAAGACACTACAGTACTAAGGTCGCGTTTCTATATGCACTACTGCTCGACTGCTATACAGCAAAGCGTTTCTAAATGAAGCCATATAATGTAACGAATGTAGTTTGGCGCAAGGGATAAAGAAAAAGATAAAGCAATCTTTACGTATAAAGCAAAATGGACACTTGTGTATAACACCATATTATGCTGCGAAAACAAAAAAAAGTCCAAGTGACTTTTGATAAAAATATTATGGAAACATTAAGAACGATTAAATTTTCTAAAATAACTCTGAAAGTTATCTAAAGAATAAGAAAATACTATATTCTAAATATAATTATCTATCTTCTATCTCTTTACTTTGTTCACATTTTCGGAAATTCTCAATTCTTTATTTATAAATTAAATTAATTAAAAATATGATTAAAAATTACAGCCCAGCATTGTGACGATGTCACATAAATTCTAATATAGCCTACGTTATATTTCACTCCAGAAAAATAAATTAATAAACATTAATAAACGTAATACAAGTGCTGTTTATCGTATTAAATTAAACAGTTTTTTTCTAATTTAGGACGTAAGCTGCAATGGTCCAATGAACAGAAGTCCGACTCACTGCAAATGCTCCTGTTAATTAAAATTTTAAGATAAGTCCAAAAGCCCCATCATAAATACATGTCCGCATGTATTTTAAGATGAGGTCATCTCCAACTGATGTGCATTTTGTAACTTCTAATTTGAAAATAACTAATTACAATTTGGGTTGTAGGTAGCCATGATTGTTTTTTTCTTTACTCTTTTCGCCCCGTAGATACCAAGAGATCTTTTTTTTTTTTTTTGACGTACAATGGGAACGGCCGGGTAGTGAGGAACAGATCTGGACATATCCGGGACAGTTCACTCCAAAAAGTTTCTGAGGTTTTTTCGAACCCCAGATTCGATCCCGGATTTCCAACTACCCGGAAAAATTAATACACTAACAGGATTAAAATATTTAAGGCTGACACCTTAAGTACCTTAATCCTGTTAGTGTCTTAATCTCCAGTTAAAAAACTATTTTTTAAAATAGTTTTTAACTGGAGTTTAAATTTTTTTAACTCCAGTTTAATTTTAACTGAATTTTTTAAAATAGTTTTTAACCTCTCGAGTAAAAAAGAAGAATTATTTTATTTTTAATACACCAATGTCGGCATGGATGTTTTGTTCCATAGTTTTTTTTAAACACCGCGTGCTGAAAGGGCTATTTGCAATACTTTTTATCCTTTTTTTTTTTTATCAAAAAAGGTAAAAAGTATTGCAAATAGCGTTTTCACTTAACACAGATTGATGTTGTAAGAAAATTGGCTAATTTAACTAACTGTAGAAATATCGATATATTATTAAATGCGGTATAAAATTTTAAAATTATTTTCAAAATGAATTAATTTTATTAAAATTATTATAATCACGTAGTGTTTTGCATTATTCGTTCTTCTATGTGGTATTTTGTGGTCTTTTCTTATACCCCTCTCTCCCGTGTGTCAAAAAAAATTATTTTCTGTTAGATTTATTTATTTTTAATTATTGATTACTGAGAAGGCATATGTGCTTCTCGTCCTATGAAAACACATCTATGACAGGGGTTTCATAGGACGAGAAGCACATATGCCTTCTCAGTAATCAATAAAACAAAGTCATCTGAATAATTACAGATGACTTTGTTTTGTATAACTTATAATGATTATTATTATGCATGATCAAAGATAAAATAATGATTGCGTCAAGCAATAAAATACAAAATTTTATTTATATAAAGAAATCATACTAATAATTTTTACTTATTTCGTACTCATTATATTCTTTGTTCTAACATTTTTGGTAAATTATGTACTGGATCCATGTTTTACTTCATAGGTATAGTAAACGTGGATGTAGTACTTAATTTGCTAAAAGTGATAGAACAAAGAATACTGTCAAACATATTTAAAGCACTCCGAGCACCTGGACATACACATAAATAACTTAGACACCACTAAATAGTCATGGACCAAAACGCACTTCATAGCAGACATGCCTAAGCTCAGGACTATGTTGACAGAACTGGTCAAACTACTTGCTGACTAGGGCTACCTGTTTGGAGAGACTGAGTGATTTATGGTTGTCTTGTAAGATCGGGTCATAAACGCTAAAAATTATAGAAAACACATTCTATTGCGTCACTAACAAATGACCCTTGCAGAAAATGCCACATTCTGCCAGAAACAATACAACATATAACCTCTGGTTGCAAGTTCTTAGCACAAACAATTTACATAAGCATAATCAAATAGCAAATATAATATACCAAGAGATTGCGCACAAACGAATTATTAAACACCCAGGGTACCATACTACAAATATACTCCCTAGGCAGTGTTAGAAAATTACACACACAAAATATACTACGACAGAGCCATAATCACAGATAAAACAATTCATCACAATAGACCTGACATCACTCTCATTGACAAATATTCCTCGATTATATAATACAAATTCCTCGCTTATATAATTGGCATCTCTGTTCCAAACACTCATAACATAAAAATTGATCACAGTGAAAAAAATCAACAAGTATACTCCACTCGCCCAGAAATAAGACAGATGTGAAGGATGGATAAGATATTTATTATACAGTACTTATTGTCATCTATCTGTTCTACTGGTGTTGTACCACATACACTACACAAAAGTCTAGAAACATTAAACCTTAATAAAAACATACATATGGCACTTCAGAAAGCTGCAATATTGAACATATGTCACATTGTTAGGAAGTTTCGAGATGTTGACACACATACCAATAACAGCTTAATTACACTTGCTTAGGTATCTAAACGTTAACTTTAGTCCAGCATAACACTTCGCACCAGTATCAGCTGAGCTTGACCTTCTTGGCATAATAATAATAATATCAACACCATTTAACAATATAATTACATTATAATTATTTTAAATGTTTAACTGAATAATAATTTGATGTAAAATCAATATTTACAGATTGTTTCAATGTATCATTCAATCATTTAATCTTATAAAATTTAATTAAAAGAGGACAAACAAAAATCACCTTATAACTGATTATCTGTTATATATCATTACGAAAAATTCATAAAATTTTAATACAACGTATCCGTTAAAAAAAAAAAACTGTATCCAAAAGCAAAATTCATCAATATTTATCAGTAGACCTTTTTTGTATAACTGATATTGCATTATTTCATTTAATGTCATAATATATTTGTTTTTTATGGCTTAATCAATTTATATAAGCGCTTAATAAACACAGTAAACCATTTATTTATTTGTATTAATNAATATATATAAATCTATTCATAAATTTTAAATATTTAATAATTTTATATAAGTTCCATTACTTAAGATTATTATTATTATTTTAATTATTAGGTTGATCTATTGATAATATGGCTAGATTTAGACATTGTGACTTTGAACTTTAATATATGAGGCCCTACCCTTCCGTTAAGTAATAAGTTTAAAAGCGTGAGACTAAATTGTAGTTTGAATAGAATATATTGCGAGTTATGTATAAATTATTTTATTTTTTGTAAATAAATAAAATTATATTCAATTTCATGTTGCCCTAATGTAGGTCTAATATGCTGTGATTTAGTATTATTACAAATTAATCATAAAAATAAGAAGATAAGCAGCTTACTGGTAAATGATGAACTCACTTTTGTTATCAGAAGTTGGATAACTTCAATTGATTAATCATATCGTTAAAACGATCTGGACAAAGCTCAACATTTCACTGGTAAGTACTGAACAAACTGAACAATCATTATCGAATTCGTGAAAAATGGCGATAGAATCGGATTCAACCGTGACTTCTAATCATAACCAAACTGCATGCAATGTCGAAACAACATGTGATATGAAGTCTACGTATAACCAAAAGTTACCAGAGCGATTTGAGAATAATAATTGTGTATGTTGTTTACAAAAAAGTGCCGAACACATCAGAAACAGCTACGAATCGATTACTCCAAGATCGGAAAGGAAAGAGAAACTTACTTCTTCTTGGAAACGAGCATCATCAGTCCATCGCTGTCCTCTTTATCACAGTGAAAGAATAGATAGGCGCCGGATAAGTGAAGAAGAAGATGACGATGATGATGAAGAAAAGTCGGAAAAACATGAAAAAGGAAAGAAATCGTCTACCAAATTTACTGGTTTACAGAAATTAATTATACTTTGTCTATGTCTGGTGAATTTTACTTCGTTTCTTAGTATGTCGATCATCGCTCCGTTTTTTCCAAAGGAAGTAAGTTTAAACAGAAATATTTCGTATAAAATATTAAAATTTTAATTGAAATGTATTTGAATAAAATATTTTAATATAAATTAAAGTTAAAATATAAATTTGTGTGTAACGTTGTTATTACGTTCCTCAAAAATATTTTATGAATCATTGTGATTGAAATCAATAACACGAGATTATCACATTCTTTGGGATAAAAATTAAAATAAAGAATTATTTATTTCTTATAACTATAGATCAAAAATAAATTTATAATTGTTTATTGATTTAAATAATTCACATTTAATTATTATTATTTAATTTAGGCAGAAATGAAGGGAATGAGAGAATCTGTATCCGGTATAATTTTTAGTGTTTATGCTCTTGTTTTAATGGTCATGTCACCTATTTTTGGTAAATTAGTAAGTAAAATAATTTTTCTCTTATCTAATGAGCTAACTTACCTACACCTTTATTTATTATTCAATTAGTCCATGTGTAGTAGAATTTGATAACAGTATTGATAGGTACAGAACAGTAATTCAATATATTATTATTATCTATTTGAATGATGAAATTAGGATATTGTTGAAAATAATACTGATACGTAGCAATGAAATAATATTTATTTATGATAAAAAGTTCTTCCATTATTTCTTAATCTTAAAATGAATTTTCAAAAAATGCTACAATAAATTAACTTCCGACTAGTTAACTTATAACAAACAACAAATCAATGCAACTAATAAAAGCAAACAAAGAAAACTAAATATAGACCAAAATAAATAAGAGAAACAACAACTCAGTTTAAAAAAAAGAACTAAGGTATTGAGATATTGATGCGAGAATCTGATGTTTTTGCCAACATATAAAACTAATTACAAAAGAAAAATAATGTATATATAATTAAACACATTAGGATATAAAAATAATCAAACACAAGTTTGCAAAATATATGATAAATTAATTTAAATATATTAGAAAATATATTAATCGTACAAAATTTATAATTTAATATCCGCATTTATCTTATTAAAATTCATATTTAATGCTAACTTGCATATTATAATTTATAAAATGAATCAATATTGATACTAGTAATAACAAGTATAACAATATCGAACTGATTGTACAATATTGTTGTCTTAGTTACTTAAAGTTAATATTAATCTATATGACTTTCCAAATATTTCTATTTTATAATTGTAAAATCATATAAACTTAAGAAGCGACCAATTAACAATTACAGTTTCATACAATCATTTCTTAACATTAAATATAAATAATCTTTCTGTTAATGCAGATTTATTTTTAAGCACCTGTTACAAAATAATTATTTCTGTTGCTTTAAATACAACTGAAATGTGATACAAAAATATTATTATTATTATTATTATTTATTACGCGGGTGATAGATAAATTTCATGAAAATGCGATTCTCCATCATCGACATGATACATTTGAAATTCTGTACCATCAACAGAAAAAATACCTGGAACTAAACTTCCAACACATTGCACGAAATTCCAACTTGGTTCGTCACCTTTTTTAAATACAATAATCATAGAACAAACGTCCCCCTCCGTTAAATATACGGACTGTGAAAGCATTATGCGATGATTTGCCCTTCCAGATATGCAGAAATCTTCGTACTGGACTACAGAAACCAATCTCTCTGGATCTTCACCCACAATTACTTTAAAATCGAAAGAAATTGTGTTATAACGAGACGATCGCGACTGTAAGAAAAAAGTTCCCCCTAAAAGATGAACGTCTCTATGTCGTATTTTAAATTTTGCTCGAATCGGTCTTAAGTGCTCCGTTATAGAAAACCAATTGGTACACCTAGCAGTAATGAGTGATTGAGTAGTTTGGTTTTCTTTCGAAGAGCCCTCACATCTTGTCATTTTGTCAGAACTACACCAAGCTGGTAACATTGTAGATCCGGGATTAACTATTGTAGCGAGGATGGCGAATGATTCATCAGATGTCAAAATTCCACTTTTTGCTGGACCGTTGGTGAACTCTTCTGGGGACATCGCTAAAAAACGGACGTATGGTAATAGATCATCAGTCAAATCGCGCAAAGTGCTATGAGAAGTCACTTCATCCATTTCCCTATCGAAAAAAGAAAAAGTTATGTATATACCATAAATATTTATTTTACAATTAAGTTTCTTACCTTTGCTGTTGTTCCGACAAACGTTCGCATTGAAACCAAGTCCAACGCATTATAGCCTGGAACAGTTCGATTTCGGAAATATTTAAATTATCATGCTGCACTATATCTTTTAAAGAATTTGGAGTAATGGTTAAAAAATCATCCGATTGAAGAGCATCTACAGTTTCTTGGATAATCATTTGCCAACTAATCTCTTTCAGATCGTCGTCTCGAAGAAGGGATGCCATATCATAGACAGCACATGATACTGACGAATGTATACTATCTTTTATGTAACGTCTACATTGTTCTTTGAGATGGGGCATATTATAAAGTTCTGCAAATCTATACACTTGCAGAGCCCGAGAGACGGATGATAACTCCCAAAGATCTGAATATATATAACTAGAATAAAAAAAGTTTTTAGATTAAAATGAGAAATAATATTTCAAAATTTAAATGCGTAAATAATAATAAAATATGTATATATAATAAGTTTTTGTTTTATTTATGATCAGAGATGTTTATGATTAAAATCTTGTGAAGTGTTTAATATGATTATTTGTACTTACTTAAGTACGGCTTCGAACGTATCCGCATCTTCGTCAGGAAGTTCGATTTCAGATTTATTTTCCGCTAAAGAACCATAAAACATGGCAGCAAATACGTCACTAGCCATAGCTAGAAACAATTTGTGGACATCAAAACACTTTTTATTACTACTTCTTCCCGTAATTATTTTTACATCTGAATACATTCCCTTTCTAAGCAGATACGAAGTTCGATCGAATATCGATGTTGTCATTGATTGCCACCCTTGTATCTACGTAAAAGTTTAGAATATCATCCGTTACACAAAGCAGAATATTTAGTTGAACAAAATTATATTTAAAATCCAAACATAAAACATTTTTTTAACTGAAAACTTTCATATTTACTTTATAAACAAATTTCACGCATCTTACCTCAGCCATCTTGATGATGATGTGTGCCAGCCAAAAATATCTTCTAAAAATAGTTCACACAACGCAGCAAATGTTCTAGATGTTAAACCAATCAAATCCTTCTTATTTTTTAAAAAATAATTTTAAACATCCATTCATAGAAGTTATTTCGTTTACTAAAATTATCTCTCGTAATGTTAAATAATAAAAACCAGTTACGTTTAGCTTCTAGAATATTTGCTCGTGTTTTATTTTATTTTATTTTAACACGATACAGTTTTTTTTNTATGTTTTAAAACAAGTTAATTTCATGAAGTCTGAACTTCTATACTGTGGGACACATTTACATTCTCCTTTTTTCATGCAGAATGATAATACCTATTTGATCTAAAACAATTTTTTTTCTTACAGTTGCCTTTAATTCATGTTTATCTCTCAAACTTTTTGAAAATTTTCTTCCACAATTTTAACAATTATTTTTTTTTTTTTTTTTTTTTTTGAAATTTTATAAAGACTGCTACACAAAATATTGTGACCAGAATAATAGATTGCAAGGAAATAGGTTCCATCTCTTTGACAACATGGTTGACCGACGACTTATAAATAATAAAATTAAAAACTGTCGATAACTTATGTTAACAATTATTTTTTTTTTTTTTAGGTTTTTAGACAAGCTCACTGATCTGACACTTTTTACAGTATTTTGTTTCATAGTCCGCATCTTTGAAGCAGTAGGTGCTGCTGCCTTTACAACTGCTTCATGTACTTACGTTTTTAGTATGTTTCCTGATGATATTGGTACTGTTTTTGTAAGTGTATGCCTTTGATATAATATTAAAACGCAAGATTTAATGCAAAATTTATATTATATGTAATGTACTGTACTGTACAAAGCATATAAAAACTATAATTTACATTTTTTCCTATGTTCACAATGTTCAGATTAGATTAATTACATAAAATATTATTACGATTCACATTAAATGTCATTAATCTTTACATGTTTTCATAACCAAAATTCCAGTTTTTGTTTCAAAGTTAACGTAAAAATATTGTATATATTTTCAAATAATTTAAACTTTTGATTTTATTAGAAGATAATTAAATTATTAACCTACATTAAATTACATCATAAATTTGTAAAATTTTATAGGGAATTATAGAAACATCCATTGGAATTGGAATGAGTCTTGGTCCCGCTATTGGTGGCAGTTTGTATGCTGTAAGATAAATATTTTGATTGTATATATTCGCCGTATTTATAACTTTTTAATATTTTAATTGAATAATATAAAATACTAATAATGCTATCTATTTTTATGACAGCTCGGAGGTTACGGACTTCCTTTTTTCATCTTAGGTTCAGTAGTAGTTATAAATATACCAATATCGTGGTTATTACTAAGAAATATATCATCAAGTAAGGTTATTAGATATTTACATTATTATTTTAATTTTATTTATATTGTAAAGTCTTTGTAAATCCGCACTTAAAATNACCTTTTTTAGAAAAGGACCGAAATGCATCTATAGTAATAGAATAAAGTGAAATCATTGGCTAAAGCTGTGTGATAGTCTACCGCCAATATTAAAATTTACATTTTAAGTGCGGATTTACAAAGACTTTACAATATATATATAACAGCAGTCATAAGAAATTTAATTAATTTTATTTACTGATAAATTTGTATTGTTTAGTGCCGAATGATGAGACATCCACGACTACATATTTACAACTTCTTTCGATACCTAAAGTGTGGATTGTATGCGTAATTTTGATGGTAGCAGCTCAAACGCAAGGTTTTCTAGATCCAACATTAGAACCTCACATGCGTCAGGTAAGTGTTATACAGTATACAGTACATGTATAGATAATGAATACTGTATTATTTTAATTCAAATGCCATACTCTACTTATTTGTTGAGTAAATAATTTGAGCTGTCATCTTCTATATTTGAGAATTGTGTATTTTCATACAGTTTAAAACTATTTTTATAGTGTATGAATATATAAAAATTCATAAAATCATTGGAGTAAGTAAATCAGACGATTTAATTGGTGTAAAATTATATTTTCTTAGAGGCCTATTCGGAATGAGAAAAAATGGACTTGCTCTTATTTTGACATAGTTTACAGTCGTTATTAAATATTAATACTGTAATATCATAAATTATTTGTTAATAATACGTTTATCACAAAGTTATGTTTTATGTATTTTCATGATAAGTTGATTTTAAGATAAAGCCATTAAGATAATTATATAATTTTATTGCTTCACGTCTATAAAAAAAAGCATTTTTTTAATGTCAAATATATGTGCTTGTCTTATATATTGACTGACAAAAAATGATAAATATGTAATTCTAAATCATAATAAATTTAATTAAGCAAAGGGTGGTGATACGAATTAATCACTTGATACCTTGATCACTATCATTATATCGATTTCTAATAATTAGTGTAAAGTTGTTAGTAATGAACTATTTGATCTGAATATAAATTTGGTACTTTTTTAAAAGTATGTTTTAAAAAGTTTAAAAAATTTAATGTTTTTAAACGTTAAATTTTTATCTTTGTTTGTTTGTTTTTGAAATTCGTACGAAGGGTGATTAGAACTTGAGATAATGAGTCAATATAATATGATAAGTTTCTGCCACAATGCTTAATAATTTACATAAAAAATAACACGCAAATATAGGATACTGTATAATAAGCATTAATAATTAATATCATAACAATAAAACTTAAAACAGTCAACTATTGATGCTTTGAGATTATTTCACATGTATAAATCATTTTGGGATTTTTTTCTCATAAATGAACTATGAATTTTCCATTCCTTTATCAATTTTTCGTAATTCATTTTAGTGCGAAAAGCTGTAGAACTACAGTTGGTTTAGCGAGAACTAAATGGCATGTGATAAGTAGTAACCAGTAGGGTAATGAGGGTGAGATGATGAACACGTGTAATTACTGTATAAAGTAAAATGTAGCTTCTCCTATTAATATATTGCGATAATTGAAAGCCATGCTTACTATTTGTGCTGTTTACGTGCAATTGCTGTAAAAATAAGTGAAAAAAATCATATATTTTTGTTTCTGACTTGCAGAATGTTTTACCAGTGCTTATCTTTATTGTAACCTCGAAAATCTGAAGTTAAGATTAGCGGACGACTTTTGTTGGGCTGCAATTTGAAAATAAATGTAGACTTATAATTTAAACTCTTTTTATAGTATACTTCATCACCTTCCTTCAGAGGTGATAAGACTTTAGTGTGCTGGTCATAATAGGTTTTTGCTTTACTTACTTCTTGTGCACGGATTTTGTTGTAGTGTTGTATATCTACGACTCTTGGCCTCAAAACAGTTTTGCTGACAGGGAGTTTCATTCAAGTGCTCTAGACATCAGAAGTTATGCTGGAGAATATCCGCAAGGAAAAGGCACATTTTTATATTTGAGCATTGCAATGTATGGATCTGAATTATTTTCACGACATTTATTGAAAAGTTAATAGTATCGACAGCTCTTTCGACAAGGCCATTGCTTTTGGGATAGTGTGGGTTTGACGTTCTGAGTTATGTCCTAACACTTTAGGAATAATCTGAATTCTTTTAAATCGAAGGGTGGACCATTATCAGAGATAGACTGAAGGAATCCCATGATGCGAAAAGATTGCTTTTAGATTTATGACCAGTTTAGCATTATTGGAACTGACTCAGACTAACACGAAATATTTAGAAAAATAATTTATTACTAGCAAATAAGTAATATTATAATAAAACAAATCTATGCCCACTTTTTGCCACTGCATGTTGACATGCTCATGCGAAATAAGAGACTCTGCATTGTTTGCTCTTCTAAATTTAATGCAAGTGGGACACTTCTACTTTTTTTATATCGACATTTAACTTTGGCCAATACACAACATAGCTTATAGCTTGTCTTTGGCATTTTTCGATGCTTAAATGACCTTCGTGAATAATGTCTAATATTTTGAAACGAAGACTTAGAGGAATTACAAGTAGATGACTTTTAAATAAACAATTGACAGTTAAGCTTGTTTCTTGATATTCACTTAGTAAGACAATATTTTATAATATTTTGAAGTTCTGTATCCATCAGGGTCGCTAGTTTAATCTCTTCCAGACTTTCAGGGAACACTGCAAGATTAGTTAACAATAAGTTTGCATGTGTACCGATATCCTCTTCTAGAGAATTCTTTCCATCGGATGGGTGTACTGGGGCTCTACTTAATTTAAAATATCTGCTATGAACAGGAATTTTCGCTGTTTATACGTGACACACAGATCATATTCTTGCAGATTCAACATCATACGTTGTAGCACACTGGCATTTCAGACAATGGTTTCTTAAAAAATGACTCCAAAAGTTTATGATCAGTTTCCACGATGATCCTATGACCGTAAATATGTTGTTAAAACTGATTACAAACATACTGAATTGCATACAGCTCTTTTTCTATTTGAGCGTAGCGTGACTGACACTCTGTCAATGACTTTGATAAGTAGGCTATGGGTCTTTTCTTTTGTAGGATGACTTCAAAACTTTGAACGACAAACAATGTTAAAGACTACTTGGGGTGAAAATAAATTAAGACTGCGGCATTGCTTATTATCTCTTTTAATGATTGAAACTCTGACTGCTGTTTCTCTGACCAATGAAACACTATATTCTTTCTTAATAATAGATGTAGGTTGACAGTTTTATCAGCAGTTATCAATGTAAGATCCTAAATAATTTAGGCTACCATTCCCAAAAACGTTTAAGTTCCGTTGTATCCTTACGTGCTGGTAGATGTCATATTGCACTCACTTTTGCTGGGTCAGGATACATCCCATTTTGACTAAAAATGTGATCTAAATACTTGACTTCTTTCATCAGAAAATCACATTTATCTTTATTTAAATTGATTTGACGAGCTTTTTCTAAGACTTTTTGTAGTACAGTATTAGAATGTAATTTCGATATGGGTGGTCAGGCTAATGTAATGTCATTAAAAAAATTATAAAAGTTTAAAAATCGCTAAAAAATACAACTTTAAGAAAGCTTTAAAAAAGAACTAGAAAATATGCAATCTTTAGATGTTATAGTGAAAGTAAGGCTGTAAGGCTTACGTCATTCTCAGAAAATGATATCAGTTTTAGGGAAGGTTTTAGTCAATGGTATAATCAAAAATTTTATTTATGGAAAGCTTTAAAAAAGAACTAGAAAATATGCAATCTTTAGATGTTATAGTGAAAGTAAGGCTGTAAGGCTTACGTCATTCTCAGAAAATGATATCAGTTTTAGGGAAGGTTTTAGTCAATGGTATAATCAAAAATTTTATTTATGATAAACGAAAGCTTTAAAAAAGAACTAGAAAATATGCAATCTTTAGATGTTATAGTGAAAGTAAGGCTGTAAGGCTTACGTCATTCTCAGAAAATGATATCAGTTTTAGGGAAGGTCAATGGTATAATCAAAAATTTTATTTATGATAAACGAAAGCTTTAAAAAAGAACTAGAAAATATGCAATCTTTAGATGTTATAGTGAAAGTAAGTGAGCCTACCGAATGGGTAAATTCGTTTGTTACTGTCGAAAAGAAAGATAAGTTATTTCAAGTTTGTCCAAGAAACCTGAAGAGAGCAATAAAGAGATGTCATTATCCATTGCCAACTGTGGAAGAACTGAGGTCAAAACTAACTGGTGCTAAATATTTTTCAACTTTAGATGCGCAATCTGGATTCTGGATGATAAAACTAAGTGAAAGCAGTTCGATGTTAATTACATTTAATACACCTTTCGGTAGATTTAGATTTAAGTGTTTTCCTTATGATGTGTCAAGTGCTCCAGAAATTTTCACAAAATCATTACTAATTGCTTCTCAGACATACAAGGAATCATGATATATCGTGATGGTATACTGATTTATAGTCAAACATTATAGAGTCCTACAGTGACTAAGATGGCGGACAACGTCGTTTGGCAAAAGTATTAAGTCGGCTGTCATCACGGATTCTTTATTATGCATCACGTTTAATCAACAAAAACTGAAATAAATGAATGAGTTATGCCAAGTGTTGATTATTACGCTGCATTGCGGTTTTGAAAAACTAATATAAAGATACAACATGGTTTCGAAATATGAAAGAAAATTATAGAGTCCCATAACGAGATACAGTGGTGCCTCAGGTTACGAACGCCCCAGCATAAGAAATTTTCAGGATACGACATGAAATTCGAACATATTTTTGCTCCACGATACAAACAAAAACTCACCATACGACGTTACATTAGTTCGCATTTTTCATTTGTTTTTCTTACTACAGTTATTTTTTTAATGTATTACTTGGCTTTAATTGGAGTATGTTTTTCGCGTTGGAACGAATTATTTGGTTTTACATGTAATCGTATGGGAAAAGATGATCCACCTTACGACATTTTCATGATACGATCTCAGTTTCGGAATGGATTAATTTCGTATCCTTGTGAGGCTCTGGAAAGGTCCGAACCCTCACTAAAATTCGCGTTAAAATAATTGTTTTAGAGAAAATAATATATTAGTTAGAAATAGATTTTATTTTATGAAAACGCGACGCTAACTTTTAAACAATAGAAGAATGTAAGTCCGTCGACCATTTCTGGTTACAGATCGAATTAAACTTCGATTTTGACCTCTCCCGCGCCCCCCGAAAGGTTTCGAATTGTCATCAGGTGACGAGGAGAAACCAATCGGAAAGGGGAATCTGAGAGAAAACGGATAAAACCCCGGAAATTCGAGGACGCGACGGCTTCTTCTCCCGAAAGTTCCAAATGACGGATCTATTGTTGTGTGTGTGTCTCTCACCCATCTTCGTCTCCATCTCCCGACCTCGGATCGACATCTTTCCATCAACGGAAGTCGACCGCATCGTCCCGGAGCCGTCCAGACGTGATGGAATGGTTCATTCTCGAACAAGGGACACTCCTTCAAAATGGGACTATCGTGGAACCACATGAGAGGAAGACCCAGCGACCGCAGCCGACGTAGAACTTCCAAGATCGCAGAAATCTTGTAAGCTTCTTTCGTGTTTAATAAACGGTTGTGTTGTTTGTAAACGAAGCATCTATCTCTGACTCAACTGCTTCCACATGTCGTTGATTGTTACCGCTCGGCAATCCAAACGGCAAGGGAGACGATGACGATATATATCACATATTATCGTTCGTTGAGAGTTTTTTCTCCCCCCCTCGGCCCCCACATCCTGAGGTACCACTGTATTGGGCCCTGTCCCTCACCACCAGCTACCCCATTGTGGGCCTGGCCGAAACATAAAGGGTTTGCTAAAAGCAGCCCTCTTAGTGCCCATAAGGCGAAGAGTTTAAAAGTGGGACATGCCCATGTAGTTCAACTGAGTAGTGATTTAAATACTTGACTTCTTTCATTAGAAAATGACACTTATCTTTATTTAAATTGATTTGACGAGCTTTTTCTAGGACTTTGAGGATCGTAACTCTTTCGACATGTGGTCTGCCTGCTATGCCATTACTTGGTTTCTAGATGCTCCTCCCGTTTCCCCACCCACTGCAGAGGGACTTAACGGTAATAATGAATATTAACCAATGCAGCTCAAAATTTTCAACAATTCATCAACAAAGCATTGAGGGCTAGACTTTGTTTTCACATACCTCAACAATATACAGTCAGCCCGTTGGAGGAACATCAACTGATCTCAAACAAGTTTTCTATAACTTGTCCAAAATGTAGAATTTGCATCAATTTGAAAAGTGCATCCAGGATGTGTCAGAATTGCCCTTCTTGTGATATGCAGACAAAATAGATACCATTAAACTCTATCTAAACAGGAGTGGAAAGTCTAGCCCACACAGAACATCTAGGCACATTTACATCCTAAAGATCATCTGGAGTTGCTCATGGACACTAGTAAAATGACTGCAGGACACTCCTTAAATGAACTCAATATCACCATCAGCAATCCTAAAATGCAACCATCAGCATTTTTCTAGGCAAAGCTCTTGGATTCTCAGAAGTGGTCAACATTTCACAGAGAACGCTTTGCAATCTACGCCATTATCAGGCATTCCCACCATATAATATGGTGGAAATGGATTATATCATCACATTATATTCATATTGGAAGGGCATAATTTTAGTTTTCATTGACTACTGACCGCTTACACACACATTCCATCAAAGGCCTAATGACATGTTTCCTACAATATTTACACTTGGGTGGGAGTATTGTAGCAGTCACTGTTGAACACACTATACCATCAAACAAGCATACATGATTTTGTGAACTCTATCCTCTCCCTTGGAAGAGGACGTTATGAATTCAAGTAAAAAGATAAGGGAAAAAAGAGGGAAAATTTGGTGAATAGATGTGTTAGGGAGTCAATCACCACCATACAAATTGCAAGGATATATTCTACTTGCATTTTAATATTCCTTTTGTATACATAAAGTGCAGTGATAGTAAAACAAAGTTTATTATTCAACTTGTTTCCTCAGTTACATAACAGGACACTATAGAATAAAAGAAAATTAATAATGCTACTCAATTTTTATATAATTACCTTTTCATTAAATTGAATAATTAATAGNCTCACATAAAAATATAATTTTAAAGGAGTTTAAAATTATATTTTTATGTGAGTCTCCATTACTTAAATTTAAAATAGTTGCTGATGTGTCTGCTTTTTTTTTTAATTTAGCATTTAGAACTTAACTTTTTTTTTTTAAGTTAGGATGTTTGATTTAGGATTTTAATAAAGTTTTACTTAAGTGTATAAAAAATATTCTTTTTTCATTTAAGTAAATTCAATTATTATCTTTAGATATTTGTGAAATGATCAGTATCAATGAAGTAGGTTTTCAAACTAACAAAATTAAATGTTAATAAGCAGATGTAATTGATTATTATTGATAATTTGTTTACTATTATTATTTTCTCTTAATAGTGAGGTCATTGGTCCAGCATCAGATGGAATTTTAATGGCCTTTTTGGAATTTCACAGTCAGCCATAATACTATCAGAATTTTGTGCTGTTGCTGTATATGTATAACCCATCATCTTAAAATAAAAATAATAAGACTAAATTATGAAATTATTTCCCCCCCCCAGATTTTAACTACATTTCCTCTATTATGTTTGAAGACTCCTAATCATCATAAAGAAGTAAATGAAAAAACACCATTATTACGAGATAATTATAGCATATAATTATTTTGAAAGTAAAATTTGTGTATTATTTTTTATATGTAGATTTTTGTACAGATAATGATTAAATTTGTGCTTTATTTTACTAATATAACAATGTTCAGACATCATCTTAATATATAACACAGTGCTTGGCTGCAGTAACAGCACTAGGAATTTCTTTTGCATTTGCCTTTATTCCGTCATTTGAATGCATATTATTAGCTGCCATGTAAGTTTATAAAATGGAAAATTTTACAAATTGTTTTGTAATATAGTATTTAAATTTCAAAATGAATTGCAAGTATTTTCTAATTTCAGTGAAAAAGGACTTGGTGATAATCTTGTTACTTACAGTAAAGTATCTGGATTGTGGAACAGTGTGTATTCATTAGGGTGAATATTTATTGATATACTATATTATTATATCTAAAATTGAGATAACTGATATATCTGGTTATTTATCTTATAAATTCAACTCAATGGAATTTTCCTAAAAAATTCCATTTCAGTTGATTATTTATATTTTTTAGGAAATTTATTTATATTTTTTAGGAACTCAATGGAATTTTTTAGGAAAATTCCATTGAGTTGATTTATTTATATTTTTGTAGATTTAAAACAGAACTGAATATTCAGTGAAATTCTTACAATTTCCATTAAACTGAAACATAATAAATCATAAATGCAGTAAGATTTATGTCAATAATAAATTAAAAAAATATTAATTTTTCACATACACAAAAAACTAAAGATAACTGTATTATTGATTTTACTAGCCATCACTTGCTAGTAAAATTAATAAGCAATTAAATTTAACTTTTAATTTTTTATCATATGTTAAATTTAGATCTTTAATCAAATACTGACACAGAAAAACCAAGTTTGGTTATATTTAAACTATCAAAAATAATACCAAATTATACATGAAATTAGTTTAAATTAGTACATCAAATCATCTAATAACTAATAATCTTGATTTTTCAAAGTTTTAAGATAAAGCACCATCTTTATTACAAAATTAATTTGTAATTTTTAGTTTTGAGTCATTATTAGCAAGATATCTTTCAATATATTGAAAATAAAAAGGAAAATTTAGCAATTATATATTTAAGTAAGAACACACTTCTTAACTTTAAGAGATTGATACTTATTGCTTGAGAAAAATCAAATTTTAAAGTTTTTGATAGACTCAAAAATTAATTAAAATTTTTTGTACATAGTCTGAATCTCTAATTGATAATTAGAACAAATTTTAAAGATAAGATATTTTACTTTCTTATCTTTGAATGATAAAAATGATATTAAATTTGATATAGATTATTATTTATAAGAAAAGTAATTTAAAAATTTTTTGCTATGAAAGTATTTTTAATTTATAATGGCATAATGAGGAATGCAAATTAGTGACAAGTGCAGGGCAATTGAGAAATTTGTAATTGGAGATTTTTCTCAGGCCTGGAGGAAACTTACAGCATTTGAAAACCTGCTATAAAATTAATGTTCTTATAGCAGAAAATAAAATCTTTAAGACTTTTTACTAATAAAGAAACATTCTATATATTTTATTTGTTTAAAAAACAAAAGGTCAAAGATAATTTGAATAAATGAAGGTCCGGCCTGTAGGCCCCAGCCTGGCAGCAGTAACACAGGCTAGTTCTGCTCATTTTGAATGTTGCTTGATAGAAATAAGCATAATTAAACAAAGTTTTGTTAATGTAGCACACAATGAACACATTAATTATAATTTTACATCATCCAGATTAATAAAAAAGCATATTATTTGAAAATAGTATTTTCAGATAATACTTAAAATTCAATATTTGGAATCTGAATACTGTACTTGTCATCAATGGCATAAGTCTATTGAAGATATAATCTTCAATGAGCATTATTGTTGCATGTACCAACTATTGATTCAATATTATTATTATTACTTGTTCACAGTCTGTGGATTTGTTAATAATTAATTAAGTAGCCCTACACCACACATGTGAGGAACTTAGTTACCAGTTCAATCTAAATCATTTGGTGAGTGAACTGACCTACATATAGGGGAAATACCCATTATTTCTTGATCTTGCATATTATCCTCCAAAATAACACTATCATTGGCCAACAATTAATTAATTTCTAAGCCTTTTGTAATGTAAAAAATTCCCAATTCATAAGCAAATAATCAACATGACTTATGCTTGTTTTTGATAAATATATAAAAGATCAAATTCAAATTACAAAAATTTTACATATTAAATTTTGAATAAAATCTTAATGATAAAAATCATTTTCCTAAAATTATTTCCATTGAAAGCTTATAAGTGAAGTTTTTTTCTATTTCTGTCTGCTTTCTTGAAATTCAAAGTTGTTTAGAAATATTTTACTTTCTTAGCTGAGTACTTTGGGACTAATTACTAGTCTTTCTTCAATTGAATTGAAACTGCTGTTAAAGATTAAATCAAGTAAATTCTTCAAAATCATCCCTGAAGATAGAAAAAAAAACTTGGGTATAAAAGTTAATGTTCTAAATGACTTCAGAATTAAAAAAAAAGCAGACACATCAGCAATTATTTTAAGTTAGAATGTTTGAGTTAGGATTTTAATAAAGTTTTACTTAAGTGTATAAAAAAAAAATATTGTTTTTTTTTTTCACTTAAGTAAATTAAATTATCTTCTTTAGATATTTGTGAAATGATTGGTATCATTGAGGTAGGTTTTCAAACTAACAAAATTAAATGTTAAAGAGCAGATGTAATTGGTTATTATTGATAATTTGTTTATTATTATTTTCTCTTAATAGTGAGGTCATTGGTCCAGCATTAGGTGGAATTTTAATGGACTTTTTTGGATTTTCACAGTCAGCTGTAATACTGTCAGCATGTTGTGCTATTGCTGTATGTATAACCTGTCATCTTAAAATAAAAATAATAAGACTAGATTATGAAATTTTTTTTTTCAGATTTTAGCTACATTTCCTCTATTATGTTTGAAGACTCCTAATCATCATAAAGAAGTAAATGAAAAAACACCATTATTACGAGATAATTATAGCATATAATTATTTTGAAAGTAAAATTTGTGTATTATTTTTTATATGTAGATTTTTGTACAGATAATGATTAAATTTGTGCTTTATTTTACTAATATAACAATGTTCAGACATCATCTTAATATATTACACAGTACAAAATTTTATTAAACAGAGACGGCTTTCTAAAAATTTACATAAATTTATTTTCTTAATTAAAAAAAACTACTAATTTTTAGTTCAAAGTAATCTTTATTGAATTCTTTTAATCAAATATACATTTACATGTTTTAGAAATTATGCCTGCTTATACTCTGTTTTAAAACATTTAAACAACATGAATTGCTTCAGCATATTAAAAAGTAGCAGTGTGTTTATGCAGAAAAATAAGCCTGAAGATTATAATACCTGATTATTTTGCTCTACATTTTAGCTAACTAATAATTTCACTCTTAAGAAATTTCAGGTTAAAGCACTGCTCTGGATGTATTCATTCTTCCAGAATATTCTAAATTAAACCAAAATTATTATTAAACTAGTAAAAAAAATATGATCTAACAATTTAGCTTTCATACAAATTATAGTTTTTTGTTAAAAATTAGTTAGCCAAAATGTGGCCAAAAATAACCTGGCATTACAGATTTAATTATAGTTAAGGGATTAAAACAATTTATAGATTATGTATTATTAATCTGCACATACATACACACACTGTACTGTACTGTACATATGATCTAATTTGCAGCTCATCTGCATTCTGTGCTTTATATCTAGCTAAAGATAGATAATGTTAACACATTCCTTAATTAATAATTCAAAATTAGGATCATTAGAAATTTAGAACACTTCTATCCCTATCTTTCCTTTGCAATGATTACTTTTATCTGGTAAATATATTTGATAAAAATTGCCAGACCAATAAGTTAATATTACAAAATTTCAGAAAAATTTTTAAAATTAGGCAATACGTAAAAACTGTGTCTTCTAACTTTTTCCCTTTGTACACACACAGAAAGAATTTCTTAAACTTTGTAACTGGTAAATAACTAATCTATATACCAGTTAAGTTAACTTAAAAATAAATTATATTTATTTTCTTGTTAACTCATCTATATACTAAACACAGAATACTTGACACTGAATAAATTCCTACCCAAAACATTTCATTCAGAACTAGACAGATAGAAAGAAGAGTACAGTAGAAATAGGAAAAAGATAACTAAGAAAATGAAAGGTATCACAAATTAACATCTTATAAGACACAGTATAAATTACTTGCAAGTTACTTAATAATGCAGAATTTAGTGTCTCTAGAAATAAATCTGTAATAATGTTTACGTGTTTTTCTTTGGCCAGCTTTGCAGCTACATTTTGTTGTTCTTTCACACACCTTTTCACAATTTCACTGAAATTTTGGAAGGACTGCTATATGATTTCTTTGTTTGTAAACAGTGTCTAAATAATCTTAATTATATAGCTATATTCTGCTGTAAATTCACATTAGGTAACCAGCATTTCAAATATTTTGTATTACTGCTTTAATTGTGTACAAGATTAAAATGTTCTATTTCTGATCTAAACTAAACATATACTTCATATAGTTTTATCATAAATTTACAAAAAGTAATAGCCTTAATAGAAGTCCACTGCACTACTACTAAATTGGTACAACAGTATTTGACAATAGTTTTATAGTCATGCAATACAAATAATTACAAGTATTTAGGAATAAGGGATAAGTTAAAAAGTTGAACAAAATCCATTTTTACCTACACTTCATATTTTTTTTTGTTTAATATTTTAGAATACAGACATATAAAAAAGGATTTGTTGAAACTAGAAACCTAAATACTACCAGAGCCGGTAGGGCGAACAGAGCAGTCGCTCCTGGTGCTATGTCCTAGGGGGTGCCTCAGTGGTAAAGAAAATTAAAGGAAAAAATACTTTTTTCACTTTTCGATATTTTAATTGCAAGCCGTGGCCAGTATGTGAATGGCCTTCTGTTGAGATGTGCGTGGGTGGGGTCCCACCCCCGGGCGCCATAATAGGATCTCGCTCCATCCTAAAACTTGCCTCGGGCCGGCACTGAATACTACAAATGTGTTTTCTGACTACTTTCTGTCAAAAGAACAGTTTATAAGAAAAGTGTTTATTAAAATAATACCATAGTATAGTACTGTACTATACTATGGTAAATAATAATATGCAGAAGTATGAAACAAAAGAAAAATCACTTGCACAATTACATCTTAGTTTTCAGATTCAACTAACTTATACGTCATTGTCCAAAATCTACAAATTCTAGTTACAAATTCACATTCCTTTCCATTTGTTGTCCAGTGTATCTACAGAGAGATCTCTTTCCCACATTCCTCTTCTCTAGTGTTTTAATCCAAAATATTGAAATTTTTAAAACTGCTATAATTATTAGTATTGAAATATTCAGCATATAATTTTTGAAGCAATAATTAACTTTTACAGATTACATATTATACCTCAGTAATATACAGTAGACCCCCCTATAACACGTGTTCCTATAATTATGATTCCTATAAGACGGCGAAAAAACTGCGACGGTATCCGTAAAAAACTCCTATAATTACGTAAAACGTCATCGGGCAGCCGAACTACTATTCGCTGTCCAGCGCCATGCTACGGAGAGATTACTATCGTCTGTATAGTATTATATATAAATTAGGTACTGTACAGTACATATAATTATTTATTAATTATATATATATTAGGTCTACCAGAAAGTGAATAAAACAAAATAATAAATTTTTCATACCTTGAATAAACTTTATTGAATAATATAATTTCCATCATTATTTATGACTTCTTGCCAGCATGATGACAATTTATATATACCATTTTTAAAAAATTCCTTATCTCTAGAGGCGAAAAATTGAACCAGTGCTTGTCTGATATCTTTGTTTTTGAATTTTTTGCCCTGCAAAAAATTTTGTAAGGACAGAAACAAGTGATAATCGGAGGGTGCTAGGTCCGGGGTGTATGGTGGATGTGACAATTTCTCAACCTAGCTCTGCAAGTTTCTGAAGAGTCCCCAAAGCCGTATGTGGCCTGGCATTATCATGAAGCAGTATGATGTCTTTCCTATTGAACATTGCTGGCCTCTTTTCTTGAAGTGCTGCTTTTAAATTATCCAATTGCTGACAGTACCTCTCTGAATTTAGCTTTTCGTTTGGTTTTAACAGCTCAAAATGTATTGGTCCTCGAATGTCCCACCATATACTGCTTTGGGGACTCTTCAGAAACTCGCAGAGCTAGGCTGGGAAATTCTGTCACATCCACCATACACCCCGGACCTAGCACCCTCCGATTATCACTTGTTTCTGACCTTACAAAATTTTTTGCAGGGCAAAAAATTCAAAAAGGAAGAAGATATCAGACAAGTACTGGTTCAATTTTTCGCCTCTGGAGATAAGGAATTTTTTAAAAATGGTATATATAAATTGCCATCACACTGGCAAGAAATCATAAATAATGATGGAAATTATATTATTCAATAAAGTTTAATAAATTTTTCATACCTTGAATATTTTGTTTTATTTTAAAAACGGGCAGAACTTTCCGGTAGACCTAATAATTATATATTAATTTATTGTAACTTTATAATTATATATATACTTTCCGCCGTCTAGCGCCATGCTACGGAAAGTTTAGGCAAGTAAGTTGTTTACTATCGTCTGTACAGTATGTAAATTAGGTACCATAAGTCTAATACAGTACTGAAATTTTATACATTTCTTGTGAAAGAAACATTTCTTATTCAACGGCAATTAAAATTATTTATATTAATGATGTCTCCAAAGTTCAACGAAGTTTTCGCAGAAAAATAACATCAGAAATCCGCGGTTTGCTGCGCTGTTCCGCGACAAAAACAAGCTTGAGCAACGGCGATTTCGAATGGTGCACACTCGGTAAGTAATCCTACAATTTTTTGTTTATAGCGTAGTTTATACGGATTATTTCCAAAAAAAAATATACGTATTTTTCAAATGTTGAGTCGGATTAGTCTAGAATCAATTAATTTTATGGAAGAAAACCTTTCAAACAGCTGTAGTCCGTAAACTTCACACGTGTCGGGCTGTGATTCCTACGAAATTGATTCATAAAGAACGGAACGTATCTACCTTGTTATAGGGGGGTCGACTGTATAAAACAATACAAAAGCATATTTTTACAGTAGTAATAGTACATCTTGTATTACTGCAATATATTTAATTAGCCAAAAATGTTTTCGACCAACTTCCATAGACATTTTTTACATTTTAATTTATGTTTTACTGATAAAGTACCCTTCATTTACATAAGTAATAGTATATAGAGTAAATAGAGTAAAAATGTTATATAGAGTAGATGAGTTATAAAACAACAAAATAACATTTTTATTGATCTTGTTTTTCAAAATTGGTGGAGAGACAACACCCACCATATATATCACTACAATGTATTTACACACACACACACATTTTGTCATCTTTATTGTGTTTTACAGTAGGGAAGACAGTGGAGGCAGTCATTAAATGCATTGTCATCAGACTTAGAAGGCTGAAACTTTGAGGATAAGTTAAATAATGCATTTAATAGAAAAAATAATATGTATATATATATATATATTGTGTATAATATAATATATATCATATATAATATTATACATTAGGCACAAATATAAAAAATGCTGTTCATTGAATAAAAAAAAAAAGCCAACCATAACACATTCTCGCTTCTAGCCACAATGCATTTTGGCATATCCAGTAGGACTACAGAATGAAATTCATGTCAATATTCTTTTAATACACTAAAACACAATCTGGCAATGTAAAAAAATGCCACAATGCTTTATGAACACTTATTTTTATTACATTGCATAATGGCTGCATTAATATTGTGCAAAAATTTGTTACCTATTTTTGCACAGATATTTTTAATAATTTATGTATAATTTCCACCAAAGAACTAAATTCTGAACAATGTTTATTATTAGAAAAATACTCATCAGTAAAAGCTATCACAAAACACATGATTAAAAGAACAATACAGTACTAAAATGTACAAAATTCATTTATAATTGTTAGTCAAAAAGACAATTTGCTGTCAATTGTTTTGTTTATGAATCCTTGGTACTTACACAATACCTAAAAAGATGATATAAATTTAAGTCAAGTAAAATAATTTATTTGTAAGTCATTTTGCCAACTGATTGCAAATTTATTTTCAATAATGACACTCCCATAGAAACTCCAAGCAAATTTTTATGTAAATTAATTAATTAATATTAGTAAGAAGTAACGATAAAAGATATAACCATATCTAAACCATAAACTTTTAAGATAAGATTAACAAGGCTAACTTTTATCAATTGTATCAAGGTTGCATTAATATGCATCCACAACACACAGCACTTTCATGTTACCATATCACATTTTGGTTTATTATTAATTAAAGAATCTCAACACAAATTTCTGATCCTATTGAATACAGGAATAAGACAATGTGCACCTTTTTGAAAGTGCCGCAATGTGAATTTCACGCTGCAGTCAATTTTTTTTGCTCAATGAACGTTTTCAGTTTTTGAGCCTAACATATGTATGTACATATGCATATTTTATCATCAAATTTAAAAAAGTCTAGGAGCAGGTTACCTAACTTTCCTAGTGTAAAATATTTTTAAGAAACACTAACAAGGTAACCATCAACCTTTGCCTCCAGGAACTGATTTTTTAATGTGTTATAGTACATTTACCTAACTAATATATGGTAAAGTAACTTGCCAATGCTCAAGAATTTGCAAGATACCACCATTTAAAGCAGGGGGTGGGGAACTCTTAGCCATTACCCCAAAATATATTTGTGTAAGTTGATATTACCCCCTCATTTTGAAAAAGAGAAAATCGATATTACTATAATGAGTTAATTCGTGCTATAATAAACTTATTCAGCTATAAGTCAACATGCTATAAACAATAAAGTTGTTACCTTCAGTTCTGACACTTTAAAAAAATAAAAAAATATATAATCAAAAATATCTAAATTCCTTATTACCCCCAATAATTTCATTTTTACCCCAGTTCCCTGACCACTGATTTAAAGTTTTGTTTTGGTTATGTTAGATTAAGATCTGTGACCCTACATACATAAGATTGAAGGCATCTGTATAATTTTACATCATAAACTAAAAAATCTCTAATTGCAGATATAGTTTATGATTCATTGCACAGTAACAGTACAATTGCTTTCTTTCCAATTTCAAAATCCACTAAGTCTGTTTCACATGTCTAGTAATTAATGAGGCACTGGATAGATTACTTTCAGTTAATTATATTCATATATGCCAAAATAAGTTTTCAATCAACAACCTAATTATTAAAATTGCAATTTCATAGGAAAAAGCCAAATTGAATTTTTCATAATGCTTTGGTCTTATCAAGAAAAACACAAAAAATAATGAATAAACTAGTTTCTGATCTATAGAGCAAATTCAATTCTTTTTTCCCATCTAAAATATCTCATATTGAAATATGAGGATAAAAATTCATTATCCTCATAACTTCAATGCATACTGATATCCCCCTCCCGGATAGCAATTCTTAAAGCAGAATCTACTAAAAGGTGGTAAACTGAATGGGACAATAGCATCAGTGGTAGGATAACCTACAAATTCATGCCAGATGTCTTAGTGGCCACACACGTTAAGGAAATCCTTTGAGGAATAACTGTGCAGGCCTGGCCTTGAGGAATTCCTGCTAGTGTGGGGTGGTACTGTACAGGCCACCAGAGTAGAAACGAAAAACCATTTGATTTTCCTGCACAGTTCTGTGCAGGCCGACCTTAACGTGTGTGCCGTTCAGTTATGAGAACAATGTCACATGAATTTTTAAAAATTTATGAGAGCAAACCATGCCTTTGGCATATTAAAAATAAAGAATACCAAGATAGAAGCAAGAAAGAAGCTGATTATCTCTGTTTAATCTAAAAACTAAAAGAAATGGAGCCAAATGCTAATAAAGAAAGCATCAATAAAGAAAAAAAATAAACATCAGAAACGCATACAGAAAAGAAATGAAAAAAATTAAAGCATCAATCAAATCAGGAGCAGGAACTGATGAGATGTACGAACCAAAGTTGTGGTACTTCAAATTATTAAGGCAAGCTTAAACTTTTAACAATAAATTAAGATGAAAAATTAAGCAATTTATTCAGCTTGGTCATCTAAAAACCTAATTTAAATTTAAATTAGATTTTTAGATGACCAAGATATGCCTCGAAGCAGCTGCTCCAACATAGATAGTGACAATGATACTGACATTGAGGTACTGTAAAATTTGTTTTTAATATAATAGTTATATTCATGTCTTTTGTGTCATAAGAAAAAATATTGAAATATAAATATTGTTAAATAAATCAATATGTCATTGTTCATTTAAGTATATATGCAGAGTTAAAAAGTACAAAATTTTTATTATTTTAATGGCAATACAATTTTTGGTTCAATTACAACATTGATGTTTAAATAAAGTTCAATTGCCATGGAATTTGGCCTTCATTTACAAAATAATCCATAAATTCTTCTCTCACTTTTTTTGCCAAAAAACTCGTGTTTCCTGAATTATTTCGAACCAATTGCACCATTTTTGAGTCTTCTGTATTATATCCTAAAATAATAGTTCCAATGTCAGTATTTTCATAATCGAAACATTCTGGAGAATAAAAACTTGGCACTGATTTCATTAAAAAGTTGTGCAAAACGCAAGTAGCCATTACAACTGATTCAATTTTATGTGGTTGTAAATTAATTGCCGTGTGAAATATTTGAAATCTTGATGCCAAAATACCAAAAGTATTCTCAACAATGCGTCTTGCTCGTGATACGTGATAATTATATATTTTCCTATCTTGGGAAATGAGATCTGTTTGTTGAAATGGTTTCATCATGTCTACCCTCAAAGGAAAGGCGTCGTCAACTACAAATACATAGGGCATACTTCTACTACTGTTTCTGACTTTACTTTCAACAGGAATGTTTAACTTATTGTTTTCAAGTTTTTCAAAAAACTTGGTGTTTTTTAGAACACCTTCATCTGAAATTCTACTATTGGTACCAAAATCACACATGATGAATTGATATGCATCCACAATAGCCAGTAAAACCATGCTGTGTCTTCCTTTGTAATTATAAAATTCTGATCCACTTCCACTTGTAGGAATAATGTTGATATGCTTTCCATCCATTGCTCCAAGGCAATGTGGGAAATTCCATTTTTCTTCAAAAAGTTTCGCTATATTCATCCATTCTCTTTCTGTTCGTGGAAAATAAAAAATGAAAAGAAAAAACAATAAATAATTCTATTAATTTAAAAAATTAAGTTAACATAAAATAATATGTTAAAAGACAATCAATTTCCTTTACTACATTAATAAAATTGTTCTTTTAGGAATACACTATGCATAATACAACGCAGGAGAATCATAACAGCAAAGATATTATTACTCCATCAATAATCACAACACAGGATTATAATTTAACAGAACTTTTGGATACTCCAGTACAGACGTGATGAAGCTGTCCCCTAAATGAAATCGAGTGGATCAAGAATCGTTGACTAGCGAAATTTTATTAACTGTAAAAGATCACTTTAAGAAACCACACGTTCAAGATGATCATTTCAATATTTTTGGAAAAAATGTTGCAATGAAATTGTGTGAACTCCCAAAGCAACAAATGCTGATTGCCGAAAAGCTAATAAACGAAACTTTGTTTCAAGTGGAGATGGGAACTTTATCACATAAATTGGTGTATGAACAGCAATACTTGCCACATCAATTTATTCGTTATCAACCACCAATTTCTACCGGTTTCGGTATTATCAGTCCCTCTTCCAGCACTTCTGTTCAATTTTATCAGGAGCAAGAACAATATTGAAAAGGATAATCTTAATTAATAATCACCATGTTAAAATGACAAAGTTTCATTTGTTTTAAATTTTAATTATGTCATTCTAACATGGTGATTATTAAGATTATCATTTCTAATATTGTAATTTGTATATGTTTATATGTAATTTGGCATTTTTGTATGTTATGACAATAATCTATTATAAAGAAGAAAAGTTTGTTCCCTTTAAATAATCTTTATGAAGGACTTTGTAAATAGNGTAATTTGTATATGTTTATATGTAATTTGGCATTTTTGTATGTTATGACAATAAATATCTATTATAAAGAAAAGTTTGTTCTTACCTTTAAATAATCTTTATGAAGGACTTTGTAAATAGCATCACATGTTTCAGGTATGATGTAGCCAAGGGCTTGAGATGATATTTCTGTTGAAAATTTGAGATTTTCAAAACTTCTGCCAGTTGCCAAATATCTTAAGGTCGCTGTGAGCCTCTCATGTGGTGAAATTGCTGCTCACATTACAGTATCTTGTTTTTTTATAATTGGTGTAACCAATGATAATAGATTTAAATATGTTTCTTCGTCCATTCTTAAATAGTTGTGCCAATCTTTAGGAACTAACTTTTCTGAGATCAGGTTCACATGGAAATAAGATCCTCTTTTTTTAAGCCACTCTTTACACCATAGACTTCTATACTTATGTTTTTTCTTGCGAGTTTTAATACAATTTGTTGCCAATAAACATCCAAGAACAGCCAGTATGTCATCATCAGATGCCATGGCCGACTGACTGAGAGATTTTCCTCGTGTGTGGGCGATAGGAAATTCTGAATTTCCTCAAAAGATTTCCTTAATGTGCATAGATACCTTTAACTGCTACAAGAACCAACTACTTCTCTCCCTCTTTCCATGACAACCAGGCAACGGCAACTTCAACACCTATCTTCATAGATTCCTGAAGATTGGGGATGGGCTATCCTGCACAGATCTTGAAGCAGAGGATCCTCAATACAATTTACAATTGTGCCAAGTATGACATCATCAATATTCAACTTATCACTAACTTACAGTGAGGAGCTCATCTGGCCAATCAATTTCCAGACTCAGTAACAAGATAGCCCACAAGGCATTCTTACTTATCACATTTTTTCTGTAATTTACCACTGTATATAACTGCACATAATCATTGCTTTATATTACTTTATAATATTCTTCATAATCATCAAATCTTGCACAAGCTACTCTAACCCTTTTTCTTTCTGTGTATGGAACCAACCTTGGCATTCAGATCTCCATTCTTCTACTTCCACCTCTTTCCTTATGGCTATACAATATGCATGATTAATCCCTTTTCCTAAATAAATAAATGATATTGATACCGAGCTAATAATTTAATAGAAGAAAAAAAAACTATGTAGAATATGCCAAGCAAAAACTATTTCCAATTTGTTAAAGTACTGATGTTGTGTACTAAGAAATTTTGTCTTATGTTAATAAATTATGTTAAAATTAATAAAATGTTATGTTAATAAATAAATGCATTTGTTTCTTTATTTTCCCATTTATTTGTAACTTAAAATTTTTTTACAGCAAATATTTTGCAGAGTATAATCTGTACAAACAAGTTACTTTTGTTTTTGTGTTAATACACACAAAGACAAAAGCAGTGTTCCCAACCATGGAGACTTGTCACCACAATAGCAACTTTTAGAAGGACATAGCGACCACTTCAAACAAATCAGCTAAAAATAGCAACTTTTGAAATTTTTTTTTTACTTTTGAGAAATATAAATTTATTTTTATAGTTTTCAAATTTACAGTTTTCTCTACTTTATAGCGCTCTCTGGCAACGACTAATATTATTACGATAAACAAAACTGTATTTCTAGATTTTTCTACAGTGTGCAGAGCTAAAAATCTGTAAAAGTAACATTTTGTAACAAAAATAAATCTGCCCAGGAAATTTTTCAAATTGCTAAATTGAAAACATAATTCCCGAATAAAATCTTAGTCCTGAGGTTATAAAAGACATGCAGTAATTCTATGATTCTAAGAATATTTTTAAAAAATCAACAAAACTATGTATTTATTTAAAATAAGACAGGCTGACATTGACAAAAAGTCATCAAAAGATGAAAGCGACTCTGATTGAAATCTGTTTTAAAACCTATTATTTTTTTTTGTTTTTCCTTTTTTGTTATATACGTATTATAATTATATATCGTTTATGTTAACAATTCAATTATTTTTGTTAATTGTTTTTTAACACAACTATTATGTGTACAACTTTTCTTGTATTGTATCAATAAATTTGTTTTGTAATAAAGACTTTCAACGATTTGAAAATTTGTTTATTGAGTAACGACAAAATAACGACTTATCAAAATATTTGTGGTGAAATCAGCGACTTTTATTTTAAAATGTAGCGACACTTATTTACGAAAAGTTGGGAACACTGGACAAAAGTAATTTTTACCTACAAAATATGTCTGAATTTGTTGACCTATAAAAGTTTTTGGTTAGACTGAAGCAAAAGGTATCCAGCTAAAAAAAAGGTCTTAAACTTAATATTAACGAATAGACATAGATATATCTAGATGTAATTTGACACGCTGAATCGATTGGTATTAAAAAAATTTACTTACGATCAACCATTTAAAAGTTACGAACGATTTTTTATTTCAGGCTATTTGCTTCGTTTAAGAACAACTTTATTAAGAAATACGCAGGCACTCATCGATATTAACAAAACGAATTACTTTAATTCATCATAATACATTCCATCTATGAGAGAAAGCGACATTAAAAATGCTAAAACGGTGTCGTTAGCCAGCAAACACGCATAACCACGACAAGGGTGTAGGGACAACTGACGCAGGGAAATTTTCCCTCGCCGGTGGGGAACATGTCGAGCGTGACGTCACTTCCACAATTCCCTACACACACGTGTGCAGTAACAGAAATAGTTGACACGATAATATAATTATTATATATTATTTAAAACAAAAGTAAAAATTTAATAACAAATTTAGGTTTCCTCATGTTACTTTGTAACAACATTAAACGTCTTTAGTTCTTTATTCCAAGATATCGGCTGTTATGCAAAAGGTACATCTAGGGGTTTATACAGTATACATATACTACACACTCGTCATTAAAGCCTTCCTACGCCCATTTCATATCACTTATACAGCGACGGACGCTTTTACCCTAGATGCTGGCTGCTCTGTACTACCAACATTAAAAAGAAGTGACAATCGTAAAGTACATACAAAATAGTATTATGTTATGTATGGATGATTTTATAGAATTTGTAAAATTTTTATGAGCAATGTAGTAAACTTTGGTTAATATATTAACCACTTTAATTAACTTTGGTTAATATATTACGAAAATGTTTGCGTTCAAGGCATGCCAACGTTCTGCTGGTTTCTTTATTGGAACTATGGAACTATGTCTGAGCTGTAATGAGCGATAGTTGCTATCAGGAAATGTGGAAATACTTTTTTCCACTGAATACAGCATTGTCAACAAAAATAAGACACATATTTATAAGCTCTTCGAAAATTCATATCACAATTAGACAGGCACGTTTTTTAATTGTCCAGAAACGGCTATCAGTGGTCAGTGTTGTTATCCATTCAGCCACTGATAAAGCCAATTTAATGATAACTTATTTATTGCATACTTTATAATTTTGAATCAGCTAAAGTTAGAAATAACTTGGTTGAATGAGTTAAAATCTATCTCCCATAGTTTATTGTAGTGTATTAATAAGTTTAAGTGCAGGCTGTGCATAATATACAAAAAAACCACAAAAACTTTCAAATGAAAACTTATTTGCCATAAACATTTTTAGTCTTTCTGGTTGTAATCAGATGTCATTAGTTTAACAGATAATTACAACTTCTAGTTCTGACAGAATACTACAAAGTTCTTAAACTCTGATATTTTGTTATTAAAAATATAAGTCAGAACCAAAATTTTACACATCTTTAAATAATCATGTTATATTTTATTTCTGTAAAAGTTTACATATTGATATATCGAATAAATTTCAGTAATTTCATTTTTTTTTCATTTGTTGTAATTTCAGCAGATGATTATCTATTAAAGATTTTGTTGAAGATGTAGAATTTTTCATTGAATTTGTTAATATTTACGAGAAAGTTGCGAGATCTCACTAGAGAGCGTCAAAATTCTTAATGTAGAATTTTGTTACAAAAATATCACACCATTCAATTATTTATTTATTTTTTATTTAAAGAATATTTCTTCTTCAACAACTTTTTAGGAATCAAAAAAGTAACTAACATTATTTTATGTACAATACACAACTTGATAATATTTGAAAAAATACATTATGATGAGGACTCCACTAAATATAATAAATATTCTGCAATATAACAAAGCTTATTTAAAATACTTCAACATTTATAATTTAGTTTTATATCATAAATATCTGTCGCTCTGAAAAATGTCCAAACAGCAAAACTTATTTGCTGCTTTAAACAT